GAGCATCCCACAAGACTGTTAGAAGAGTGTCCCACAAGAGTGTCCAGCAAGAGTGCCGCCAGAAGAGTGCCCGGCAAGAGTTGTCCACCCTACAAGAGTGTCCCACAAGAGTGACCCACAAGAGCTTGCCAAAAGAGTGTCCCACAAAAGTGTCGCACGAGAGTGTCCCACAAGAGCGTCCCACAAGAGTGTCCTGCAAGAGTGCCCAACAAGAGTGCCCTGCAAGAGTATTCCAATGTATCTTGTTTGTCTTGGGCCCACACCAACTCGTGTGCATTGCCCACTGCTTGTGTATACTGTAATTTTGCTAAAAAAGCACCTTGATGCCTCCACGGTTGATGGTTTGGGGATGCACAGACGATGAAGGCTCTCTTCTCGACAATTGCTGTGGATTTTTTCGCATCAAATGGAGCTGAGGAGTAGTGAAAGCATTGGGGTGGCCAGCTGTTACAATACCTTTTTCGGTCCTTTTGCAACCCAACTGCTGCAGTACTCATCTTATTGCAGGTTGACTTCAACGCTGCTGCAATGTCCTGTGCTGCCGTGAAAGGGACCACTTTGAAGCTCATAAAGAAGCGGTGTTCAAAAAGATGTTGGAGCTAGGTCGTTTGCGCTGGTTGGGAGTAGTTCGCACTAAGAGTGGCAGAACTCCCCAGTACATGTGCCTTTTAGTGACCTGGCATAAACAAACTGTTGCTTTTGTACCTTTTGGACATGGAGGCTGCGTTCTTTTTTGAAATCCTCGACATATTGTTGGGTGCCAAGAAAGGATAGTGGAATAGCTGCAGCACATGTACAATTGGATCTGCGGCTGTGACACATTTGTTGTCGTCGAAAGATGCAGCGGAGCCAAATCTGGGTTGATTTGATTTTGTTTGCATTCCTTGTTGAGAGGCCTTTTGCACCTCTCGCGATTACTTGCAAAACAACATGTTTTTCCCGAACGGGATGCAACCTACAGTTGCTGTCCACTGCTTCCCCCCATAGCTTTCAGTCTAGCACCTGTCAATGTGCACATGGGCGCTTCTTAAATGACCTGCGTGGGACCTGCGTGTGCGTGAGAGCATTCAAAGAGTGTCAATTCTTGAAGGTGTAGTCCCCTGTGTGGACATTGCGCCTTCTGCAATGGTTGTCCGGGTGCCTGCAGAGATTGTTCATCAGGTTGCGGAATACAAGAAGCGGAAAAAACCCATCATACAGCTGACAAAAGTGGCTGAAGACTCTTGCAGTGAAGAGGATTTGATGCCGCAAGTTGTTCCTGGAGAATTGGAACATTTGAAGCAGATTGCCCACGGCAAAGAAAGTTACTTTTCGATTTCATTCTGTGGTGATACAGGAAGTGGGAAAACTTTCTTGCTTGCAGAGATCCTAGATTTTTTGAAGGCTGAGCAGCAGCCTTTGTTGGTGGATGGAGACATGCCTGAGATTGCAATGACAGGAGATATCGAATGCTTCATCCACAAGGAGAAGCTATTCTTTGACATGGAAGGCCCCAAAGGGACAATTCCATTGATGCAACTCATTCCTGAAGACGCGTTACAAGAAGAGCTGCAAGTGCAGATTTCGGACGAGGAAGAGAAGCAGAGGCAGCGCGCTGTTGGCAAGTATTTCCCTCGACTGGCCCTGGCTTTCTCGCATACTTTCGTGTATGTTACGACCCAAAATCCATTGAGACATCAAGATGCATGTGATGAGCTGTTGGATTTGGCCAAAGCGCTCAATCCCGCCCTCACAGCAAACGCGAAGCCGTTTCTGATCATTGTTTGGAACCAGGCTGAGCTTGGGAAGTATGTCAAGAAGGGACAGGATGGTCGGCTGCGAGATGTAGAGCTCACTGAGCAACTCGGCAACAACGAAGAAAGAAAAAAGATGCTGGAACTATCATTCGGCAGGACTCAAATCATCACATTTCCCAACAAGCATATTTCGAAGAGAGACTTGCATGGCAGCGAGCTTTTCGATGAAAAGATGGCCTATTTCATCAGCCTGCTGGAAATGCACCGGTTCGAGTTGAACAAGATGAGGCTTCGCGAAGGCTTGGAGCTTCCTGCCAGGGCACTGTTGACAATTATCCCGGAGCTTGTCAAGCAGTCAGTCGGTGGGTTAATTCCTTCGGTGCCAAGAGCTCTCAAGGAGTACATGCTCCAGCACCCTGACGAGGATCAAAATGTGCTGAAGGAAGTCTTCTTGGATTTGGGAAGAAAATCGAAGGTACGATGTGGCAAGGCAGAAGGTGCGCTGAAGGAATGGAGAGCCACCTCGATTAGATTATCCATGCTGATTGCAGCGAGAAATCTCGCATTCAGGTTCTTATCGGAAGGTGTTGAAGCCTTTCCAAAAGAGGATCAGAATGCCCGTGCTCGGTCATTGTACTCCAAGCTGCTTGTATACTTCAAAATGGTCTTCTGTGAATGCCAAGCCAAGTATCCGCAGAGTGAAACAGATGGTGGCGCGCCTGTGTACTGCAAGAAAGAGCACCATGGTCATGGATCAGAACACACAACCGAAAGACCTGTCAGTGGGATTCTGCATTTGGTTCTGCGGTCTCTCTTTGGGCCATATCATGACAGCTGGAAGGGGGAGTTCGAACTGAGTGAGGAGGACAAGAAGCAACTGGACGAAGACCTCCCAGCTGAAATGCAGCAACGCACCAGCACAGCTGCACTGATTTGGCACAGGACTGTTTTCGACCATTCGTTTCCCTTGACATCAAAGCACGCCCTTTGCGACTACGTAGCGGGAATTCTGCTTCTAACTTCACTCAAACATCACTTGCAAAAGGGTGATTCACTTCCAGACTCTTTTGAATTCTTTTGACTCACTTCCGGACTCTTTTCATATTTTGCATGGCTCATTTTTTTGTGCCTGTGGCCAGAAGGATCGCGTTCGTTGAGTCACAGAGCTTGTGGGGGAAAAGGGTGTCAAAGGGCAATGTGAGAGCGCCGTGTCGAGACTTGCCCTTGGTTTTGTTGAATCCAAAGTGCGCTTAATGAATGGACGTCGTCAAACTTCCATCTTGCTATCTTCCATGATCTTACAATGATCTTGCATGATTGTGTCCGCAGGAATAACGACGAGAATCTTGAGAAGCACTTCAAGAACTTTGCGCAAGAAGGTGTCAGCCTCCTCGCAGACTATGCGGAAAGATATTCCGCCACCAGTGGTGATGTCCCACTACGACCCAATGTGGCCAAAAGGAGCAGAATTGATTTTCACATGGATCCGTTAGATCCCTTCTGTGTGGCGTGTTATCAACAGGTTGAGGGCGAGGTACAAACTTTTGTTTTGTGCGAGGGCTGCTACTGCGCTTGGTCCCGGCGAGTGACTCAGCTCTACAAAACGGTGGAGTCAGGGCCACAGCTCTATGCGACAGGCAAAGATGGGTTTGTTTACGGCCAGGCCGTATCTGACGCCTCTGCAGACAGGAATTGGAGGTTACGGCGCATTGGCCTGAACCTCTCGGGCAAGATTTTGTCTGTTGCTTGCAGTTGCGAGAAGACTTATGTAGTGCTTCGACCTGTTGCATCAGACAAGGGAACAGAAATTCTGAAACCTTGCTTGTTTCAGTTGGACAGAAGTGGTGACAATCCAGACGTCCCAATCTTGCCGCCACCATCACAAGAGCCAGCGAGAGTGGCCCTTCATCGGGACATGATCTATTTGGTGACTCAGACAGGAGGCCTTTTCAGTGCTCCAGCCCCACCTACTCCTGTGGACTGGAAACCCATCTATGAGCCAGGGTTTTTGAAGGGGTCACCTTGGCCAATTCGAAGCATTGCTTTTCATGAGGACCATGTCTACATTTTGCAGGGCCATCTCAGAGCTTTCAAGAGCACGTTGTACCAGGTTCCAGTCTCGAATCTCTCGAATATCAAAGCCTGGAAAGCCGTGGGCGATTTGGAAGCCTCAACCAGCGTTGCGGCTGCAGATGATGCTCTCTTCTTTACCACCAGCGTCGCTGAGAGAGCAGGTGGTAACATCCACAGAGTGCCACTTCCGTTGGACGGAAAGGAGATTCATTTGGCTTCTCAAAATCTGGTGTCTCCTCATTCCTCAGGCGGGGTTGCTGGACCTCCTCGAGAACAACTGTAGGATACTGTAGGTCTGGTAGTCCTCACTCCCATGCGCTGCAGGCTTCACTTCCGTGGCCTTTGTTGCGAGCGGAGATGAAGTCCGAAGCTTCTTGGAGCCTATTCCTTCACAGGTGCCCCCCCCCAAACGCACAAAACGTGGCGAACATGCAAGAAAAACACCGATTTTTTTTTGCAGATTTGATCGCGCGTCCTTCGACGGCCGGTTCCATTTTTTTAGCGTTGGACGTCCGAACCCTGCAAGGACGATTGGGTGTTGGACGAGATTGAAGTGAATCTTGAGGTCTGTGTTGAGGGCGACAGCTGTAGCAGGTTTCATGTCGGGCCAGTTCTGGGTTGCTGTGTGTTCTACCTATTTTTACGTGGGGAACTGCCGTGGAACTCTCTTGAACTATCTTGAACTCTGTTTTCCGATTGCGACGACCTGCTTCGAGTGTCAGGACGATGCCGCAGGAACCTGTGTCCTTGATGCTCCCGTGGCCGCAGTTCGCGGGTCCGCTGTCAGTGAGCGGTTCCGTGGAGCGTGGAGATCTGTCATTGATGCAATTCACATCACATACAGGGGCCCAGATGGCCAAGAGATTCCGGCCGGCAGCGCGAATGCTGCCCAGCCTGGCGGAACTGGAGAGAAGCCTTGAGTGGGAAAAGGGGCAGGGCTTTCAGGTGTCTCTTGTGGCAGAATGCTCACCTTCTGACCTTTTGGATCAGGTCCTGTTTTTTTGAATGTTCGTTGAGGGTGTTTGTGGCGATGAGGTGCCGCCACACCGGACCTGTTTCGCTGCGCTTGCGAAGCGACTGCAAATGACTAAAGAGGACTTCCTCCCCCGCGGAGTTGGTGCTTCCACACGTGTAGTTCTTTCGTCCGGTAATTTCTTTTTTGGGTTCGGCTCCTTTCATCGGCTCTTTGAGGCTCCTGCGATCCGAAGATATGCCAAGTCCTTGGGCAAGGCGAGGTGAGATTTCATGAAAGTGGTGAATCTTTGTGTTGAAGGGGTCCCAAGTCCGAAACTCACATCATTATACCACCCGAGAAAAGAAATAGGCATGGACTGGAGCCTCAGTTTGAACAACCACCCAAAGAGGACCATTTGTCCAAGCGTTCTCAACTTTTTAAAGTTTAGCAAACCAATTGACAACCTTGTAAAGGAGAGTTGCCAAGGCAGCTCACGCTCCACCCGTTGACATTTATGCAAAAAAAGTCAGTGAATCCAAGTTATTTGGACATCTTACATCTTCGTTTGGCTTGGAAAGGAACATTTTGGCATCTTCGGGGAGTTCTACGTCACCACGGAGCGCTACGCCACCATGACAGGCAGAGACAACCGACCAAAAGCGCTGATTTGGTGGTTCAAAGCTGCTAAAAGTGCCCCGTTGGTCAATTGTTCACAAAAACCAGACAGTTTTGGAGAACAGCTGCTGGTGACATTGGCAGGCCGTGGGCGGGACAACACGATGTATGGCCAAGAACGCTTCATTCCTGGCGAAGCTACCCTGAAGGGTGGAATCGTGCTGGGACTCCAAGGGCTGGGGGTTGGGAGGTTAGCAGGGACTCTCTAAGCCGCTGCAACATCCACGGTCATGATATCTGGCTTCCGAATTGGTCTGACAGAGAATTGTGTAGGATGGCTATGAGAAAAGGCTTCAGCACTGGACACATACTGGGCGACACATTGAGTAGCGAGGCTTCAACATGGCGATACATCGCACCCCGGAGCATCAACCCATGGACCTTCTTTTTTCTCTCCATTACATGTGGGAGTCTGGGCGGATAAAGGGTTGAGAGTTTCCGTTTTCATCCTGTTTTGCAAAGCTGCAAAAAGCGTTGGCTGTCCATGGGTCATGAAATGAGCAGTACATCGATGATTTGGGATTGGGCTGACCAGAATGAAGAAAATTAAGAAGAAGGCGATGTTTGCTGAGCATCCCAAAGTGAAACAGTGACTAGATGCTACTAGTGATGCTGCTAGTGATGCTCCTGCTATGATCAAAGACGATGCATCATGTTGGGATCTCAAGGTATCCATACTACTGGTACACCTTCACCGCCCTTGTCGGAAGCTCAGAATCGACATCTCGACCTCTTGCTTTTGGTCCAATGTCTCGAACATGGCGTACTTCAACACATCCTGGCTCCTCTCATGGTGCACATCCTGAGGTGCACATCCTCTGATGAAACACATCCCAATTCGAATTCTCAAGAGTTGACGGACCTCAGAGTCCATCCCTTTTTGGGCAGCCTGGGCCGGTCATGAGCCGAGGTCTACAAGAGACCAGAGTTTGCAAGCGGCTTTGCTCTGGCCTACAAGGAGGAGAGATTTGATTAAACATGATCTCCAGTCTGGAGTCTCCAGTCATGCATTTCTCAATGTGATTTCTCCACGTGCTTACTGAATAGAACAAATTATTAGGACCTGTGATGAAGAATGAATGAAGAGATCCATTTTTTGACAATTCGCTTCAAGAACTCCATGCCATTTCGGAAGTCCTTGACACCAAACACACATGCCAATTTGAGCGAGATACCTCTCTGCGTAAAAAACCCCTGAACGCTGCAGATGGATTCGATGTTGGGCGGGTAGGGTTATCCATTCAGGAGAGCAAATCTAGGTCTCCAAATGGGTAGGAAGCCCGTAGTCTTCAAACCGCTTGGTAGTCTTCACATGGTTCTTTTGCACCGCAGCGAAGCAGGAGAATCGCATGATTGACACCTTTGATCCCACCACTTCGCGCTCAGAATATGATGGGACCCCAAGATACTTCGCTTCAGCCCGGTGGGAGCGAGCATGGTGCAGTGAAACCGCATGGAGCAGCCATATATCACATTCAGGTCGACCGGGTTTTTGAAGCGTGGATGGGAATCTGGATGCCACTTACACCGGTAGAATATCATATAGAGACTCCCAAATGGATAGACAAAACAGTAGATCCGCACTAAAATGTAATTATTGGACACCGTGCCACTATCTATTTGGGAACCACTATATCTATTCATAGCATTTGATTGATGTGCTGGTGCCAAGGCCATCCAAAGCGACCGCATGTATGGGTTCGTTTGGTGAGACTCGGAAACATGTGCTTCCTCTCTGTGCTTCGTGCTTCGTCATCAAATCAGATCTGTGGGCCCACACAGGCCCCATGCAGGTTTTCTGCATGTCCTCTTTGAGGCACAATGGATCTTCTGCAACAACCATGACAACTGGCGCTTGCAAGCATTGACTGGCCAGGAGAGGGGGGCTAAGCGGCGAAGCTGGTCTTCCGTTGGGTGTTCCTTTCTGCAATCCTGTGAGCTGTTTCAGCAGTTGCTTTTGGTCCAATGGCAGCAGATAGGCCGAAATTCACTGCTATAGCTATTATAGCTACTAGCTAAAAACGGCTTCCTTTCTTCCGTCTCACCCGATGAAGCAAATCACAGAAGCAAACCTTCTGTTCCTTCTGTTCGGGCATCGAAACAGATGGTCCCTGTGCTGATCCATCGGCATTTCAGGTGTGTATTTTTTGCGTTGGCTGTAGCCTTTCTCTTTTTTCCCTGTATATATATATTATCTAGCATCTAGAACCTGAATGACCTATTTTGGACCACCAACCACTCAAAATAAGGTCTTTTCCTATCAAAACAGAGGTCAAATGGGTTCTAGGTATATATATTATAATGCCTTCTGGTGTTCAGAACCTGAATTGACTTGCATGACACAGGTTTGACACCCCGAATTCGGATGCTGGCAGTGCATTGTTGTTGGACTTTAGTGTGCTTCGTTTAATGTGTTGCTTTCGAGTCAACCCTCATACTCTCTTGGAGTTTCATGGTACAATGATTGCAAAATGTTTCCAGGCTCTTGTCACTGCACTCCACACTGGGCCACGCCGACCAGTGAGGAACAATTGAAGATGTGTGCTCGACCTCAGCAAGAAATCACGAACATAGCATTTGAGTCTGAAGAAATGGAGGCGCAGACATGCCACAAGTGCCAAGCCATTGTGCTGCATGAATCGGGAAAATCAGCAACTCACACTTTTGAATCACACGCACTGAATTTCAGAAACGCACAAAGACAAGTTATATAGGTCAATGCACACACACACACAAACAGTTTCGCACAGCCTCACACCCTGCCAGCCCACATTATCTGCAAGTCTGCATGCAAAACCGCCTAGGTTTGGCCGTGATCACCTTTTGGCCAGGTTTGCATGGGCCCAAGACCTTCTGGACGGTCGGGTCCGGAAAGAGTGCGCATGGTGGTGATGGTCCGAGAGAGCCCACGCCCATGACTCTGCCAGATGAGCAGAACATAGCAGAACATTTTACGATTCTTGCAATTCCCATTCCTGCACCTCATTGGCTTAGGGCACTGAATGGCATTTCAAACCTGATTGAGACATGGCAGCTCACGTTTCAAACAAGCTTGTCAACCAAGGCCCCTGCACTATGCCGGTGACGAGCAGAGTATTGATACGTCAGTTTCCCTGAGAGATGATGGACTTCAGCAGTCAGATCGCAAATGGTTCCCACTCATAGCAAGGACTGTAGGACGCTGCTCCATCGATTTGAGTCATGTTGAAAGACAGAGGATGCTTGCTGGACTGACTTATTTTCTGGTTGTGCCCTACCCATCCAATTCTTGAATTGTGCAAGCCCACTTGAGTGCAGCGACTAGGCCTGGAAGTGCTTTAGATGGCTGGGCTCGTGAAGAGCTCAGCACCTCCTTAGCCTGGACTGCAGCTGGGGCCTCGGGTTTGCAGGGTCCATGAGTGGTTTCCTCGAAGCCTGCGGCACTTTCGGCACCTTTGGGCGGTTTCCCTCGAGACGCCTCGGAAAACCTGAGGGGATCGTGTACTCGAAGCGGGAGTCGTTTCGCTCGCTCGCTTGCTTCCTTTTGGGTTGGATCTGGAACTCTGCACCAGCAGTGCCCCTTTGAGCAATGTGGTTTTTGGGTTCTGGGGTGAGCTGGCCGCCGGAATCTCCCTTTTGGAAGCACAGCCTCCTGGACTTTTGGGATGTCGTTTTGGGCAGGACGGATCGGCTGGACGGATCGGTGTCGACCCACATTCACGATGACAAGTGAAACACGTGTTGAGCGGCGTTGGTGGGGGTTCAACCATGAGATGGCAGCTAGGGCTTCGTCAAATCAGGGCTTCAAAATCCCTTGCATCAGAAAACTGGTCGAAGGGTGGAAAGATTACAATAGAATCTTGGACAACCTCGAGCCTCCAGCACGAGACTGGCCAGAGAACGGGCCAATAGATGCTGCAGATCCACCAAAGCTTTCCGTTTTTTTCTGGAGACCATTTGACTGGATAGACCGGCTTCATGAGGTTTGCTGAGGTGTAGTGGCAGCACGCCGAGCTCGTGCGGTCTTCGCCGCCCCAGGTCAAGACGTCCCAGGATGGCAACCCTGCAGAGCGCGACAACTTTGTCCGGACGACCCGGACGATCCCAGCGAATCGACCTGTGACCTTCAGGTCTGCAGTGTTCTGTGTTCGTTGCATGAACAGTTCGTGCCGTGAACAGTTCGTGCCGTTCTTCCTGAAAAACCCGACCTCTCTATAGGCAAAGGAGGTGAAGCGAAAATTCGGGTCATCCGTTTGTTTCCATGTTGAATCCACTTCATGATCAAAGAAAGGACTCTTTACTGTAAGTCTTTGCCTTTGCTTTAAACCGCCAGACACGCATGATCTTCGTCTCGGGGACGTTGAGTCGTATACGTCGGACGTTCACGGATGATCAGCTGTGTCCGTTGAACACCACGTAGCTATGTTGAAAGCAATATAGACAATTGGAAGACACCAGAGCAGGCAGGCTGGGCAGGTCAGCTTTGCTTCATGTCTAATCTTGACAACCAGAGGGAGCCTGCATTCGTTGTTCTTGTGTCGGGGTGGCAACTTTTGCCTCAAGCTGTTTGCAAGTCAAAGAGGTTCCGCACTCCTTCTGCGAAATGGACCTCCTTGGCCAGTCCGCCAGTCGGGGTCCGCGTCGATCCATCAGGAGGTTATGCGGTCGCTCGGTGTCGAGGACATGACCTCCTCCAACTATCGCTACATCGCACGGCTCAATGCCCTGCGCCGGGCGTATTTCGGCGCTTTCGGGCGCGGTGGGGCGATGGGAGAAGAGCTGTGGATTTGCGGTTTGGGCTTACTACTATACGGTTGGCAGAGTGACAAGACCTGTTTGGATTGTCTTGGATTTCTCACATGCAAAGGAACCAGAAGGGAAGCATGTTGAGGTCATGTTGGGTTTAATGGAGCGCGAGGGACTGACCGGAGAGCTTCTTTGTGAGTTTGCCCATGATGTAGAACGAACAAGTGCTGATGTTCCGGACAGCTTTCCTCGGCAGTGGACTTTTCATGACTTTTCTTTATATTCCTGACCGTCCCTGTGTGTGGGTTCAAGCTTCGGTTCACGGATGGTTCGTTTTCCATGTAAAGCTTCTAGTCTACGCCACCCCTCAAAATGTTTACCTGGATGTCCGGCAAGATGAATGGTAGTCGAGTCTAGTCGGCTTACTGTTCAAATCGCTGACTAAACAAGCTTCTGGAACGAACAGTTTGTTTATTTTGTTTCGATTCATCATTTTCAATGTAAGGCGTTCACTTCAACGAAAGGCAAGGCTACTGCAGCCACCCATTTTTGGAATTCCCCCTGTTCTATTCCACCCCAGTGCTGCCACGACCTGACAGGCAGGCCTCCTGCGATGAGGTGAAGACCCCTCAACCTGAAGTGCAGGACGCCGTTCCGCCGCCCTTCCACATCGTTGCACCGCAGCTGAGCAGGTGGTTGGCCCTTTGGAGCCGTTTCGACCTGTTTTTCGACCTGTTTTTCGACCTGTTTTTCGACCTGTTTCGGCCTGTTTCTGCAGGACTTGCTGATTTTCTGGCGAGGATGTGATGTGGAAGGCAGCTTTGGCGAAGAGCCCGGTGAGAATGACCAAGCATCCCTTCTCTCCCGCCCCACGGCGACGTGAAGCATCGTGAAGCATCGGCGGCTGTCGAAGCATCCGGCTGTGAAGCATCGCAGCTTTGAATATCATTTTGCACATTAAATGTCATATTTGCCGCGCGGAACGCGGCCGAGGAAAACAGTCTCCAGGTCAAGCGCCATAAATATATACTGAAAAACCGTATGCCGAATGAAAAGGAATTGTTCGTCTTGCCAGGCCGAGTGCTTGTAGCTGCTAACTTCCACTCTGAGGACTTGGAATCCGGGAAGGGTCCAAAGGGGAAAGGAAAGGAAGCTGAACATGGTCTCCTTGTGGCGCTGTCCTGAGGCATGCGAAAATAGTTGATTTACACAATCCGTTTGCACATGTGGCACTGAAGCTCTGGGTAAGTGTAACCTGAGATCGTTTTGCAGAGTGCAACTACAAGCGTCCTGAACTTGCTGATGGTCTTGCTGTTGCTGCAAAAAGAAGCGAGTGACCTACACAGAACGATGGAAACTGCCCCATGATCCAAAGGTCTTCATGGTTTAAATGAGATTTGAACACCACCAGCGCCACCACCTCATTGCTATTCTCAAAGCTTCAGGGCACTGTGGCGTCCCTGCGTGACTGCCGTGTGGAAACAACGCCCAGGAGGCCAGGACGGCAGCATTCTACTCTCCATGGAGTGAGGCACTCGTTCGTGCGGTCGACGCACCAGCCTCATGTGGGTCTCTTCCCGGGTGTGGCGTTGATTAGACTTGGAATAGAGCGACCCCACTGCGGCCCATTTTGCGTTGAAGTATAGATCCATAGACATCCACCTGAGGTAGATCCTGAAAGTGAGAACTCAGATCTCGATTCTATTTTACTAGGCCGCCGATCATTTTCCGTGGCCTCCAGCTGGAGATGTTTTCATTCCCCCAGCAACTTTGGGGGTTACTATGGGATACTGTAAAACGTCGTTGGACGTGATTTGACGTCCATGTCGTGAAACAAAGATCGACCACCTGCCCAGCCCAGCACCAGATCTAGTTGGAGGTGGTCTTCAGATCATTGATCACTTGCTTTGACCCGACAGCCAGGGCACACGGCTGCTGGATGCCCGCACGTCTGACGAGGATGGCCGAAGAGAGGCTGGCCACTGGGGTCCAGGATGGCCACAGGGTCCAGGCCACGGCTTTAAAGGTTCAAAGGCTCAAAAGGGTGCAAGACAGCCATCCGCGCAGCCATCATGAAGATCTAGAGGCTCGCATCCGATCCAGAGTGTACGTCAACAGCTACTCATTTGCAGCATCTGATCCATATGACTTCAAGTAACTACAGCTCCTTCTTACAACTGCAAGCTCCTCACATCACCGGTCACGGTCACCCGGCCCAGGTGCTCGTCGAGGCCTCGGGCTTTGTCTCCTTGGACCTTCAAGCTTTAGAGGCCGTGATTCTCGTGCCCGGGCGCTAAGACGTGACCTCTCGAGCCACGTGACCTGCAGGACCCCCGGACTGACGGAGCTGAAGGACCCAGGGAGCTCCGGTTTGTGTTTAGGTCTTTTTTGGGGGAGGGGGGGCGGCGGCGGCCCCAAGTGGGCGTCAAGTTGGTGTTGTTGGGTGAGTGATTGGGTGTTGTTCTTTTGCGTGCCTTGATGTCTTGGCCATGTGACCAAGAAGGTAGATTCTATGAGTTCCCCTTCTGAAATGGAGAAATTGAAGGATCAGTCAGCAGTACTTAGACTTATATAGGAGTTTGCATCTTACGAGTTTGCGCAACATATCCTTGTGAAACGATGGTTGTGGCTCATTAGTACTATAGTGGTTGAGGCCTGCACGACAAATTCACGGTCACAGCGTGGTCATCAATCAATTCCGCAGGTTCAACCTCCGCAATGAGTCTTTGGAAGTTCGATGGAATTGAATTCGAGGCAGTCAACCTGGAGCAGTCAACTAATTTGTCCAGGTTACTGAGCCCAAACTTTTCACCCGACCTGAAAGCTCCATCATGCGCGGAGGACATCCCGAACATGGTTTTGCAGCGAAGTGGGAGAGTTGCGAAGTGGGAGAGCGTTTTTTTGCAGAGATCCCAGAACACCTGTTCACTGTTAGACAGATTACACTGAAGTTCAGGTAGACACTGGTGATTTCATGGAGGTTCAGTGGGAAGGTTCACAAGCACCGCTAACAACCTCTGGGGTGGTCCCGATCGCCGACCATCGCCCTGCCAGACCAGGCCTGGACCCTTGAGAGCATTGCCACCGCTGGTCATTGAGACCTGGCCCAAACACGGAGAAGTGCTTCAGGCGCACCAGAAGTGCTTTTCGCCACGCAGCTTCACGGCGTTTTTCCAAGCCGCGCTGTTGCGGCATGTTCGCTGGCCAGCTTCGAGTAGAGGAACGCATCGAGAAGGCCTTTGGAATGGTAAAAGACAAAAAGCTGTTGAACTCCTCAGAGCTCCTTGTTGGAACTTCAGAAAGACTCCTTCAGCCACTCTTGCAGGGCCTAGGCTACAGCCTGTTGGGATGAGAAATGGTGTGACACGTTGTCACGTTCTGCTCGTTGCAAGTATAGTAGGTGGAACACCCCCAGTGAGGGCTTTCGTGACATCGGACGATGCCAACGTCCCCTGCAGGACTGCAGCATCTGACTACCATGGATAGCCATGGATAATCATGGATAGCCATGTGCATGTGTGCGCGGTGTCAGCAGAGAAAAGAAAGAAGAGCCATGGGTTTATGGGGTGTTTTCACAAAATATTGAATGAAACCAAAAGAAGCTGCAGGTATCCATGGAAGAGGGTGTCTAAGATATCTAAGGTACCCCCCATATGGTCACCACATTTCATTTCCTTCGCAGGCGAATGAGATGACTGGCAGGCCGACGCTCGGAGCCGCATATGCCCGGGGGTGTTTCGTGAGCGAAAGGTGGCGCAAGGTGGAGTCGCCACCAGAGGGGAAGGGAAGAGGGCCAAAAGAGTATGTTAAAATATATGTTAATTAGGTTGCTATAGAGCTGAGGAACGAGGCTTTTTAGGATTGTGTGGGGCTGCTGTTTGCTCCACTCGGTTGCCTAGCATGATCAGGATCCCCCGTCCCACAGCAGCGGCAGGCTTCAACTACGCTTCGACGGGGCCATGCAAGAAGATGTGGCTGAACACGTCCTCTTGGACGGAGAAAAGATCTTTAGTCCCTTGACAGAACACACCAGGACTGCGTTTTCAGTACGTTAGGAACCTCTGTTACTCACTTTTGGCATGTGTATCCCTCCAAAACTGACTCTTGCAACCAGAGTGAATCTGTAGAAGTGTAAAAAGAATACTGTATGTTAGACCCGGGGGTCTATGCAACATTTGCCATGTGGTTTTCTTGGTGGGGCAACTCATATCATAATGGATTTGTTGAATCAAGTGGGGGTTGCCCCCAAACTCGATTCAACAAAAAGGCAGGGTCCAACTTGGACCTTGGCAGAGCTTTCGTACAGAGCCCCAAAACAACCCAACATACCTCCGCCATCCTTGGCCCGTTCCTTTTGAAGCGATCCCTTTCTTGGGCCACGAAGCGGTCGGGGGCGAGGGGCGAGGTTGCGGTCGTCCAGGTGGCAACGAAAAGGATGCAAACACTGGCTCGTTTTTGCAAGATCTGCAAGGCAGAGTGGTTACTTAGAGACAATCCACGCTGGGATATGATCAAATTCAGAAGAACTTGCAACTGGAAGTCTTCCCAGGCTTGAACCTACAGGACTTGGTTGTGCTAGCAGGTTTTGCTTCCACGGTGATTTGGAATTTTGCAGGTTTTGAAACATGAACCGGTGCAGCCAAACTTCCCGTCGATCTCACAGCCATGGTTTCCTGTGGTACAGCATGGCACTGCATGGACCTTCGTGGTGCCGACGTTGACGTTCCGCGTTCCCGGTGGCTACGTGGACGGCCGTCCGGACCGACCGCCTCGAATGCCGGTCTCCCCCCGTTTCGACGTTGGGCGGGCCGAGGTTGTACTGACTCCACCTGCCAGGACCGGGTGGCGTTGATCGGGATCCACGGGACGGTGGAGCGGCGGAACGAATGGGGTAAGGAAGGAACCGAGGTGCAGGCAGCGGTGTTCGTGGAATTGGTCGATGTATTCAACTAGCTCTTTGCCTGGCCTTGGTTCCCTGGTCCTTTTGCCATCATTTCCTCCTGGATCTGGATTTGGTGATGAGACCCCCCAAGGGAAGACAACATGAGCGACTATTACTACCAACTGCGAAGCATCTCCCTTTCGCCGCCGGTGGAACTGCGAGCATTCTCAGATCTTCCCACAAAGGCCTTTTTTTCAAAACCAGAACCGCACCAGGCGAGGAATCCTGAGACGTGATCGGCGGACTCCGACCTCTCTGTGGGCGACATGGCATCGGTCCACACCCCGCGTCCAAGTTACCAGTTCGGTCCGCGCCCAAAAGGAGCTCACCGCGCAGCTCGGGGAGCTGGCAGAAGGCTTTCATGAGGTGGCCGCGTGCGACGACCTGGCGCTTGAGCTCGCGCGCTCTCCCCGAGGAACGAAGTGGAGGTCCTGAGAAAACACGGAATTGGTTCCTCTTTCCTGCCGAAGTAACATGAAGTATCGTCATGAAACATCCTGAAGCCATGTCCAATGTATATATACCATCATAGTATACAGATACCTGGCTACATACAACTCTTTAGCTACTTTTGGATTTGAGGGGTATGGTCTGGTATGAAAAAGATTCGCAGATCCTTTGATTCGCTGTTAGAGTTCGAAATGAACATCGGATGAAGGATTCCTTTTTTTGTCTATACCAGGAAATGGCTGCAAGATATACTGGAAAGAGCTATTGCTCTAGTTTTTTGTTGAACGGGTCCATTTTTGCAGGCTATTGCTCTAGTGACTTGGTCCAATCTGATGAGACCCTTCTTCTCACGCCATGTGCCATGCTGATTAGTGCTGTGTCGGGTGCTACCATCGCTGAGATTGAGGAGGATGAGCTGCACCAAATGGACCGTGGCCAGACTCTCAAGGAGTTGAAGCAGCGGCTTGCACATCAGATTGGATACTCCAGGTTTCGACAGAGACTTCTAGGTGATACAGGTGAGCTGAAGGATGAGACATGCTTAAGGACTTTGCCACATCCGGCCAGCCTTCAGCTGGTGATCTTGGATCTCTATCCCCCTGATAGGATGATGGATCAGGAGCTCCTCTCTGCATGTGCTGAAAACAGACTTCGGGAAGTTGAACGGCTGCTTCAGAGGCCACAAGATCCAAACACGAGAGATTCACGAGGCAACAAAGCCTTAATTCACATTGCAGCTTGCAATGGCCACCTGGAAGTTGTTCGCCTGTTGGTTGAGGCTGGAGCAGAAAAGGATGCAGCGGCATCCGCAGATGGTCTAACAGCTTTGCACTTGGCAGCTTGCTATGGACACTTGGAAGTAGTGGAATTCTTGGCCGAGGTCGGAGCCAAAAAAGATGTCACGGCTGCAGATGGTTTGACGGCTTTGCACTTGGCAGCCTTCAATGGTCACTCTGAAGTGCTGAAGTTCTTGGTGAATGCTGGAGCCAACAAGGATGCAGCCAGCAAGCAAGATTGGACAGCTTTGCATTCCGCAGCTGCCAACTGCCATTTGGATGTCGTGCGCTTGCTGGTCAAGGCTGGTGTCAAAAAGGACGCAGCCACAGCAGATGGCTTGACGGCCTTGCACATTGCTGCTTTTAAGGGTCACTCGGAGGTGCTGAAGATGTTAGTGGACGCCGGAGCCAACAAGCACGCGGCCAGCAACCGTGGCTGGACAGCCTTGTACTTAGCAGCGAAGCATGGCCATTTTAAAGTGGTCCGCTTGCTGGTTGAGGCTGGAGCGAAGAGATTTCTTGGTGCACTCTTTCTTGTGATGTCACTATTGATCATTGCGGGTGCCAAGCGCCGCTCGAAATGAGAGTCGACAGAAGCCAAAGTGCTCACGACGCTAAGCAGAAGCTCGTGAAGCTCTCAACAAAGAACGTGCTTTGTTACAGCTGACAGATTCCACGATCTATGTCTATATGCAGAAGTGGGTCATGGGAGTCATGGCACTCATGGCATAGCAGGGCTGAATGACAATTGCTTGGACCCGTATGTAAGTCAGAAGTATGTAGAAGCACCACACTTCTTCAAGATGACTTCAGGTCCTTCAGAAGGTGACAGGGATGTTTTGTGTTTGCAAGATATTGTAAGCTTACCTCAAGGTTGGAAGTAGTGGACCACGACTCCTGCTATTCATATCTATTCATCTATTCTCGTTCCTGGCTTCTGGAGCTTTGCTACGACCTGGTCGCATGCCAGGTCGTGGTGGAGAATGGTGCTACCAGCACCAACGGCCAGCAGCTTTTTTCCACCTTCCATTCCAGCTTCATGGTTCGGTGCCCCAGGAGGGGCCACCCATGGCCGATCTGGGCGAAGGCGCGAGCGCCTTCGCTTGTTCCGCGCCGCGTCGTTCGGCTTTCGGCGTCCGACTTCAGCGGCGAACGACGAAGCAGGTGTTTTTACGTACAGTCCATGTGGCACCTGACTACACGACACCTGAAGCACGACACCAGAAATGGTGTTGGCACTGAGCACTACCAAGCATGGGAGCTGTGCCGGAGGAGCTTAACGGAACAGTCTGAAGAATATGATTGTTCAATCGAACTCCTTGCTTTCACGACTATTGTGCACAGAACATACAAAATGCATCACAATACATCGAAATACGTACAAAACCAAAAAACTTTTGATTGCCTTGAGGCAGGGGTCCGGGGTTTGGGCTTTTGTTCCATTCAATCAGTGAATGCCATGCAAAACGGTTGCGCACAGAAAGCACAGCAGGTTCTTTTCCAAGCCTCCCTCCATCGATGAGATGTGTTTCTGCAAGGGGTCTTTTTGGCATGAGAACGGTATAACTTGGCTTTGGAAAACAAAGTGCCCTATGAGTTAGCGAGTTAAAGGAAGCCCAATGTAATATCAAGCCGATCAAATTCATCGGGCTAGTGTGTGCTTTCAGTTGGTTTGTCAACCGTCGCTTTTCCAGTTCCCCAAATGTTCCTCTGGTATGACTGCAGGTGTACTCTTCCTGATGGATTCTACATTTATGCCAGGGTGATTAGAGTACTGACTCCCAAAGAGGTGCCTTGGGCGATCAATTTCTCTTGGGAGTCGGGGTACCGAGGAGTCGCCTGTGGGTCGGCGTGGGGGAGAGTCGCCGCCCGGGCGACCGAGGTGCGCCAGAAGGCGGGCCTCATCACTGAGCCCAGAAGGCGGGAAGCTGCAGCCACTCCCAGACACGAGGTCCATGGGACTGCCATATTAGCATACATTGGGGTGGTTGAAATGGGGTCAATGTAGGCACATAATTTGAAAAGGGGTCAATGGAGCGTCTGGGACCGAGTCTTTGGGGGGCGGGCTTCGGCCTTTAATTTCTGCGGCTTACTTGTATAGTAAATTGGGGGGCAGACGCGGCCCACTGGAGATTGATGGGGAGCTGCTGCTGACCCCATCAAAATTCTCTTTTGCAACATGCAAGCCTTACGACATGGGATCGTGCTACTGAGAAAGCATTAACCAATTTGCGTGGACACGTCAAAGACTACAGCATCTATCTCCCAACTCGTTGGCCACCCCTTTCGCATCCTTTTCTGCCACACCGTGACAGGCATGAGCAGCCTGGCCTGATTTGTATCGATTTTGGGCATCTTTGCCACCAGGCAACGTGGGACTCGATGGCGCAGGGATCGACCTGCGGACGAAAGGACGACTGGTGGCGGGAGGAGAAGTTGGAGCAGGTCGACTTCTAACTCCGTCGAAAAGACCTCGATATTCGTAGGTTCTTTTTCAGTTTGGAGAGTAAGGGTTGATGGTTGTTGTCTGGTGGGAAGTAGGCATAGTAGATGGAAGTCCAATGATTTGACCCAAAGCAACAAGTACCGTGTGAATCTCTTTGAGCATATATGCTCTCCAAACAAATTGCGGTCCTCGGACAGCCTGGGATTCTCCAGCAGAAAGAGAAGATGGGCCCAAGAGCTTCTCATACAGTCCAGCCACTGCAGAACGCCTTCACCCAACATGAATCGCTTTTGCAGCATGATACACTCCCAACATGCTCAAATAAATGACTATGTAACAATGTACTTGAGCAACACTGACCTCAAGATACTTCAAAAGACCGCACTATAGAAAGAAGATCGAAGCACACATCTGGAAGCTGGGCCCCGAGACTATGAGACGAAGGCCATTCTGCAAAACCATGCACTTGACAGGAATCTACCTGGCATCCAACCATAGAAATATCCATGCACTAAGATGTTCATTCATCGGATTTGTCATGGATTTGTCATGCCAAGGACCTTGAACAAACAGGTGTCCTCCGTTTTCGTCCGCAAACGTCGCAGGCCGCTGGGGCCACTTGGATGAGGCCCGACCGGTACATGAAGGGGTGTCTAACAACGGAGCTCCAAACTGAGGTATCCAGGGGTATCGAACCACCCCGAACCGGGGGGCCCCGAACCGGGGGGCCCTTCAAACATGGAAGTGGCATGACTCAGTGGTCAATCTTCCTGTTTTGCACTTGCAAATGGCCAGGGGCAAGTGGGGGGTCCTTGGGGATTGCTAAGTGAGGCAGGAGCCAGTATTCTCACACCACTTTCTCCGATTCCCCATCCTTTCCAGCAAGCTTTCCAGAGGATGACATGGAGGACAGAGCAGTTTGCGTTACTGGGGAGTCTACTATGGCTCAAATTTCAACCAGGAAAGTATGAACGATTGGGCTCTTGAAGCCCTTCCTTTGTGAGACCAGGAACACCTCTGCTTTTATTATCTTCCACCCCCCCGAATCGATCGCTTTCTCAATCGCTTCGCTCGATTCGCTGGATCATATGGCTTCCCCCCTATGGACAGAAAACTGCCAGAGGATTCGTGGAGGCTGGCCTGTACGGGCCTTTTGGCCTAAAGTTGACATAATCGCAAAAAAAAGAGATGGTAGGCCTATTGGCAAGCTTGGTCTTAAACAAGCAACTGCAACATCCGACATTGCGACCTTATTTTATTGTTATGCTGACAACATCAACTGGTCTTTTATGATTCCTTCCTCACGGGCACTGTTTGTTGCATTCCGCAGAACGCAGAAGTTTGTCAACATTCTTGGTTTAAACTGGATTCGAGTAAAAGCTGGCTGCGGGGGGGAACCATAGCATATGCGTGACGGTTTGCAGACGTAGGTTGTACACCCAACCATCATACAAGGGTCAATAAACTGAGAAGCATTGAGGAAAGACTTCCGTCAGCGGAAGAAAGATGCACCGCATTGCTAAAATCCAGGACACCCAGAAGTCAAGGCCCTTACGATCCAAATTGTGGCCTAAGGCTCTCTTTGGAGGAGAACATATGTAATTAATAGTATATATATATACAGTAGAGATTTGCATTTTGAAGAACTCTAATTACAGAAGCGCATCACAGGCAATCTTAGGCCATCATCCGAGGGCCTGAAACCTTCTGGTATTGAATTTCATGCACAGGGCGGTCCAGGATCCCTTTCTCAGACGTCTCTAGCGCAATCATTGCTTGTCCTCAGACGTCTCGCTCGTTCGAGACGGGGTGCAATTCACCATTGCACGATTTCATCGATTTCCACAAACTCCGTCTGCCGAAATCAGCTTTTGTCCATCAACCCGATTTGGGTGGCCTTTCTGCTGTTCTCCGGCGACCAAGCCTAGCGCAGCCGTGAAAAAACCCAAAGGAGGCGACCATGCCGGCCTCGCGTGGCCTCGGGCCTCTCAGTGTCTGTCTGTTTGGACACCCGATCTTCGGGACTTCTTCTCTCGCAGCGCCAGAAATCTGGGCTTCTTCCGCAAAGAAGTCGAGTCGGTCGATCAGAGGCTTCTTTTGGGTTGGCAGAGAGTCTTTTCGGTGTTTCTGAAATCCAGTGCCACGCTCGGGCGTCCATCCCCCACGCTCCAGGATCCAAAATGTGCAGCGCCATGGTCAATGGTCCGAGCCACCGCCTTGGTGAGAAGAACTCTGGAAGGGGAGATCTCTGCTGTGGACTTTGGAGACACAAAAAGACGCCGCAAACCAGGCCATTTGTCCATCGGTCACGATCCGTCGAACAAACACCGTGGAAACACACAGGACATGGTACACTGGGGGGCAATGTGCTCGTCATGAGTCGACGGGATATACTTCTGTTCATTTCTTTTGTATATTTCTTACAAATTTCCTGTACTTCTTCTTCATCCTCACATTCACGAGGGGATAGTGGGTAGTCTGGATTCAAGGCTTCGAGGAGGTCCTTTTTGAAAGTCTTCAAAATGCAGAGAGGAAGAACGTCTTCATCCATCTTCTGTGGCGGGAATTCCGCGGAATGGCTCCAAATCCATGTTTTTGCATCGATGTTTGAAAAGGGCCATGATTCATGATGTTTGAAAAGACATGGCAGGTCTTTAATGAAGTTTGTTGTGGCTCGAGCAACAAAAGGGTACCGCCCCTTTTGTCCCACATCTACAAGAGTGGGCCCATCAGTTGACGCCCATCAGTTCCGGGTGTCACCTAGAAGATTCGGAAAACACTTAATGATCACTTCCAGGACCTTCCAAGTCCGGTGGTTTTTGGGACACCTTGAATCACCTCTAAGAGGCTATTTATATATATAGACACCTCGAACGGAAGGTCCTGGTGTATATTTTAGAGAAGGTCCTTTGATTGCTACTGGTAACATGTACGATGCCATCATCCAAAAGGGGCCAGTGTCTGGGATGACACGCATACCCGCGACCAGTCTCTGTGGATCGACGCCAATCCACAGAGCTTCCAGATCAACCGCAGCAGATCCTCCGCGGGGCTTTCACGGGGAGAGTCCGGGCAGAGTCCTGAGGTGGATGCCGTATGCCAACCTCACCGAATGGCGAGTGTATCCTGGCATTCCTGTCCTGGTCCAATATCATGCATGGGCGCTCAGAGTCGCTGTTCGCGTTCTGCAGCGTGTGCTGGTCCGTTGTGAACCAGTCTAAGGGGCTTGTCAGTCTAAGTCTCGCAGCTGCAGTCACACACCCAAATCATCCGAACATGGGTTTGTCCTGAATGCTTTTACATGGCAAGGTCTTTTCCTTACGAACGACCGGTCTTCCCGGCATCGCTGTCGAAAGCCCGCTTGGTGCAGCCACGTGAGGCTGGAACCAGCTCCAGCTACATTGCTGGAGACTGTGTTCAAGCTGATGGATCCAGATGCTATGCAAGCTGGGAGCCCCCGATCAAGGGGATCTCCGGGGCGTGAAAAAAACGGACGATCCCATCTTGGTGGTCGTGGAGGGTTTCGGGATGGACTTCGTGGAATTGGGGGGCGTGCGGGATGACCCGCAACAAGGATTGGATCAATGATGTACTGCGCCACGGTTTGTTTTGATCATGAGAGGTTCTAAATTGTGGAGATAATTGAACATGTATTTGATGTGGAAAGCACTTTTCTGGACCCTTTCCACAGCCAGGCGAGTGGCTCACCTTCCCCACCACTTTCGAACCCACAATCCTGCAGGTTGGCATCCAGAGATGTTTCTGAGAGCAGACTTCAACGGGTCCAGAGACCAAGGCAAACGTCGCACGTCGTCGCAGCGGGGGTGGATCCAATCCTTCTTGGGAAGCGGACCAGAACCCACGGATGCCTCCAACACATCGACACGTGCAGGAGGGTGTCGTTGGGGTTTGTCCGACATGAGATACAACGACGCCTGACACGTCCGGAGAATGATCCGGCCAAAGGGCTCATCCGATCTTCGCATGCTGCAGTTCCCATCGATGTCCATTCAGAAGAATCTTTGGATAGAGGAGCCTCACTGAGCAGATTCAGCCCCATGTGCCCAGGTGCGCAGAGGAGTCTTCTTAAAGAAGCAGCTGACAGTAACAGGGAGAAGAACTTGGGAATCACAAAGCGGAAACCGGCCAGATTGAAAGGAAGTTCCAGGATGGTGCTTTCAGGACCAACTCATACCAAGTGCAACACCCAGGATTTCTTAGGATGTTGTTGACTACAAGCTTTCCCAGCCAAAAGCAGAGCTGAGGTGGGGTTTGATCCAAGACGGTCGCATGGCCCGTGCCCGGAGTCTGAGTAGCACAGAACAGGAGTTCCAAAGGATCGCCTCTTGGCAAACGGGTGCCCAGAACATCCAGTCACTGGATGGGTCTAAAAGCTATCAGTTGGAAATCCTGGTACATTGATTTACAATGAAAGACCATCAAACAACCATGAAAGACCATCAAACAACCATGTATTGTTTTTGTTGGACGGACATGGGGAGAAGATTTACCCCAAAGCTACTTGATTACTGTATACGAGTTCGGTCGCCACACATGCCAGTCCGTGGGGGCCTTTTCGATTGGTGGGCGAGACTTCTCGGGCATTTCGGCCGGGGTTAAGAAGCCAGAACAACTGGAGACCATACGGTTTCAGGTGTCGGCATCCGGCATTTGGAGTCTTAGGTAGCAGGACTGAGGGTGATATTGCAGGTTCAGAAAGGCGAATCACGCAGGAATGAACATTTTAAATCCCCCACGACCTCAAGGACTCTGCCAATCTTCTTAGTGAAGTTTTACATATTCATCCATATTCCATCTACTGCTTGCATCCGTTCGCAGCTGCCTGGAAGCATCAGCGGCTTCCTTTCGCATGTCTGGGAACAATGCCTGAACCGAGGTGGATCATTTTACCTGGGCCAGCAACGTGACGCTCTCCCGCTTCTCCCGTGCCAAGTTTGCACCACAGCAGGCTGGGCAGGTTTTTTTCTCTTTCTCTTTTTAACTTCGTCTGCTCTTGTGTTGTTGGTTACGAAAAAAGATCAAACAACAGGCGTGAAACTCTCCTGAAAAGATTGTTTAGTTATTAGTCAGTTGAGTGACAACTTCAGGATACTGGAACTGGAACTATCCTAGACATCTTGTCAGTCAGTAGTTTTGCAGGGTTTCAGTCAATCCCACGCTGGCACTTGTTTTCGTCACCCTCTTTGGTGATTTTTGAGTGGAGATCCCGAGAGCCTTGAGTCTTTCAACCCTGCCACTTGCCAGGGTTGGAAGAAGTCTTATGGAGCTGGGCGCTGAATTTGTGACGAAGTCGACCGACAGACGACCCAGACGTGAGGAATTGGTGACGTGACGAGAAACACCCCAACGACGCGCAATCGAGGTTTAGGTCAGTGGGGAGTGCCCCAAAGCCCCAAGACGCTCCCGTCTTGCAACTGATCGAGGTTTAGGTGAAAGACTGGTGGATCATGGTGGATCCATGTGAATCCCATTGTTTTCTTTCTTGCGAAGCACCTCAAGTCCAAGGCTTGTGCATCTGGGTAACCCATGTGGCCATTGCATCGAGAGTCCAGCCATCCAAACTTCGTGGAACCGATCAGGGATGCTCCAGATTCTTGGCAATTTCGTCCATTCTTCCACCACGGGACCAAAGACCAGGGCGGATGGGTCCAGATTGCTCAGCTTGCTCGACTTGGTCATTCCAAGTCGTTTTCCCATGGAAAAAGACACCATCTCCCACCAGCTCCAGGGCCGGCCCAGCCCAGCGGCCCGAGCCGCAGCTGCTCAACCGAGGTCCATCCGCGGAGGCCTTTGCTCTATGCCATGCCCACCTTTGATCCCAGGCGGGCTGTTGGAGGTTTGCTGTTTTTTTCATGGAGAGACAAGTCGACAGGTCTATGTTCCAAGAGGTTTCCAGTTCGTCTGGAAGGGTTTTTGCATTGAGAAAACAAGGTAGGTCGACAAGTCTATGTTCCAATAAAGAGGTTTGTCAATGAGTCTATGTACCAGTAGAGGTACAACCTCTATGTTCCAATTCAGTTAGAGGTTTCCTGTAATTTTGTGTATAACGATTCTGTTCAAATAGCTGGGAGAAGCTGGCCAATCTTTGCTTCTTACGGACCACTATTACTTGGGGGCCAGAAGCAAAAACCTGTTCCCAGCTTCTTCGCAACTGGGTAGTGGCAATTGGCACAAGGAGGTCGCCAGAAGAAAGAGAGACAGAGAAGAATCATTCTCAGCTTCTTCAAAGTGACCTTTCTTGAGTCCCTTTTTTTTGGATCCTTTGTAGACAATATATTATGTGACCTTAATGAACCAGGGTATCAAAAGTTCACTTTGAAGAACAAGGGAATGGCTGTCGTCACATAGAATCTGCATATATATATATATATATGGATTAATGCAGATCGTGCTGGAGCTTGAGGATGAAGAATGACCATGACCCCCGAACCAGGTGGGAAGATGTCAAAGCACCTGTAATCAGTGTTGCAATCGAAATTCGATCATGACGTTTTGGTTTCTGGCCTTCCGCATTCCAGGTACAACAACTTTCAGTACGAGCCACTCATCTCAGGACCGGCTGACAGATGCAGTGCTCTCAGACCCTGAAGCAACCGCTCTGACCAAACACGAGCTGAATCGCCTGCCTTCACCTCGTGGAAGGCCAGGAGAGACATGAAGGTCCCTTTGATCCTCCAGATTTAACCAACAGAAACTGCAACGGACTTGAAAGTCATCCACCAGAATCTTGAAGATTTTGAAACATGCGCTTCAGCCATCTACGATTCATGAGAGCTCTTGCACTTGGTACCCTCTTCTCGTACGGCGCGAACCCGAGACATCCCGGGATCCCCGCAGGAACGGATGCGACCCGCAAATGGATGGTGGAGCCGGGCCGCTCAGAGCGTCGTCGCATCGCAGACGAGACGAGACGAAGCGACCCGTCCCAGTGGAGAAGCGATCAATCGACCCGACCGGTCTGGGGGGGGCCGGGGGAGGCCGGATTGACCATACACAGCCATAATAAGATCCCATAGCGATGACGAGCCCCAACTGTGAACTCTGGACTCTGGACATAACTGTAGACCAGTCACCAGTTCAAAGGCAAACGGAAGGGTAGTGCACAGAAAGGGTTTTGCAAAAACCGATTCTACTAACGTCGTGGAAGGCGCGTGACCTTCGTAGAACCCAAGGCTGTTCGTGGACAGTTCGTGGAATGGTGGGCCAGTAGGAGAACTGACTGCAACGAAATCCCAGAAACCTTCGCAGAACTTCGTGGAAGGTATTTTTGATGCACTAACTTCGTATAAGCGATTTTTGCTGACCCCCTTTCTCCACACACCCTCCGTTTAGCCTTCACCAGTCCCATTATTAGAATGCATACGTAGATATAAGAGTGGTAGCCCCCCTGGCCCTCATGTGGTGGGGGTGGAGGCCTGTGCAGGGAGTCCCTATCCTAGGGCTATAGGAATAATGCACATGGATGGTTTTGTATCATAGCCAGATGTGACCCCTCTGACTCACACGCTTGTGCCTGAGGAGAGAGTTCTGGTCTGCGGAGGAGTCCCTGGCTTCTGGCGCCGAGTTCGTTGGGGTCTCGGGTGAAGCAGTGGACGTGCATTGAGTATCATGTTCATCCATTTTCCACACTATGTGCCGCATGGGTCTACAGTCTACAGTGTGTATGCTCATGGGTATTTGAAAGCCAATTGGCCAGCTCTGAGCTCGGCTCGGCCACCAGGCCAGCGAATTCTGGATCGGCTACCAGTCGACGACGCCCAGTGGACCGGGACGGGAGATTGGGACGGTTCGGTCTGGTCGCTTGGAGGCGAGACGCGACAGGACAGGGAATTGATGAAGACCGCCATTTTCTCGCGTATGTCATGCATATGTCAGGATATTTGCCCAGCCTCAGAGGGCTCGCAATCATGTTTGTTCGATAGCTATTGATCACTGGAAAGAAGGATGGAAGAAATCACTTGCACATGAGGGTGGACCAGGTCGACTCAGATTGTGGGGGCATGCTTTGGCCCAATCGCGACGAAAGAACCTTCGAAGTCGAACCGAGCGAACGAGGTTGTTTGGGATCGAACTCGCAGAAGTCGATGCAACACGTTGAGAACTTGGGGCGATCGATGTAGTTCTTTCGCTTCGGATATCCGAGAGATGTCTTATATAAGGCATTATATCAGGAGGAACCGTACCTTCCCACCACGCCCCTGGTCGCCGATCCCAGGTGCACGGCGGAGGAGCCGAGGTGCCCGGTGCCCAAACAGGATGCCAACAAGTGGAGGCCCACTGGACACGGAATGAAAGGACGGAGTTTTGGAGCTTTTGGAACAGTTTTGAAGTGTTTGATGGTTTTCACGAAAGCTAGCCGATCGGCGATCGGCTGAAGTGATTCAAACGAGCGAGTCGAGTCTGAGGGTCGAGTCTGGGGAGGTGAGGAGGTGAAGTGGATGTCAACCATACCTGGATCTAACGGCACAATCTCTTTGCCAGAGGCATTTTTCAGTGAAAAGGCGTCGTAATCACAGAAAAACCACTTTTTGACGGGGAAAGACGCCGTTTGGACGCCTCAAACCGCAGTTTCTTTTTGGTTTCCGCTGGTCACAACAAAAGCGCCGTCTTTGGAAACACACGCCGTAACGGCATTTTTTCTTGACGAGGCAATTATTTGTGCCATTTCAAAAATCAAGGTATTAGCCTGCTGGTGTTTTAGTTTTTACTTTGCCAATGTGACTTTTGATGGGTTGGCGATGCATAAGATGCAAGGTGCATAGTTTGGTGATGCATAAGATGCAAGGTGAATGGTTAGGTCATAATTTGCATCAGCAACCTGCTCCAAAAACACTATTCAGTTTATACATGTGTATTGAATGTTTGGGTGACATTCTACTCAGACTACATCCGTCCGATCAACCTCCCCATGGTTGAGATCCTCTAAGAAAGGCGACCAGATCCCGATCTCCTTGGCGACGCCACATCCACCACTCAGCCGCGAGTGCCAGGTGCTACAGCTTCTCAAGCTCTCAGGAGTGATGAGCTGAACCATGCTGACCCCCAAAGACCCTTTTCCTTTCGCAGATACTGAGTCCTAAGACTCTCGGTTCAAACTCATGCAAACAACCACGCACCTACACGGCGTGAAAATCAGGCTGGACGTTCTGCGGGCACGTATCAGCATCCATCTCAAAGATACGCTGAATGAATCTGAATGAGCAGAGCTGTCCAGCTAAACAGAGGGAACCACTGAACCCGCAAAACAGGTGACGCTTCATCTATTTGAGTCCCATACCCATACCCGAAAGGAAAGCAGAACCCATTGATGGCGATCCAGTCATCGTCACCCAATCGAAAGTAACTGGACAGACAAGCTGAGCATCTCGGGGAGATGCCACTCTTGGTGAGTGTCACTTGGCTCCGGAACTAACTTTTCTCTTGGTCTCATGAACCGTTGTGTAGAGAGAAAGATGGGGGTAAAGGATGGTCCTTGGGCTTCCCAAGAGAGCATTTTGCTTCTACAATTTCAATCCAGGCCTGTAAAGCTTCAGTGTTGTTCAAGGAACAGTACCACAGCCACCGCCCAGTTTTCGTGAACGAAAGACATGCCGTGACATGCTGTTCTGCGGGGAGTGCTATGCGCTCGACTCTTTCAGGACATCAACTGGTGCCGAAGCGTTGGAACAGATGATTGCTGGGACACCCAGCAGTCTTTTTTATATATTTTTGCTACTGTTTTTTTAGTTTAAATTTAAAACAAAGAAGTGTTCAGATTCATGTTTTGCACAGCTAAAACCACGCAAAACACTGTGTTTGCTAGTGTTTGCTTAGCTGCTGCACTCTCTCATGCGTTCACGTAGGTAACGGGCAAAAGAATACTGTACTGGCACGAGCCATGTGGTGCAACACGGCCCGGTTTGGCGTCACTGGACCCGACGCAAAAAGTGACACCATGACACCTAACTCTTTAGATTCGATGTTCTTGACGGTGTGTGTGATGAATATGGTGTCAACATGTGATGAATATGGTGTGTAGGTTTTTAAGCATATTGTGTTTGTTGAGGGCTTTTCCCTCAGGCGTGTGACAGCAGTACAGGGCTTGCATCAGCTATAGCTTGACTGACGCATCTATTTTCATCTATTCTTCCAATCCTTTGCATGCAGGTTGGGAGTACGCGGAGAACGATTGGTCTTCCTCCATGTCAGACTGTGCTGGATGTGCTTTGGCTGCAAAACATCATGATAGTAGTAGTAGTAGTAGTAGTAGTAGTAGTAGTAGTAGTAGTCGTAGTCGTAGTCGTAGTAGTAGTAGTCGTAGTCGTAGTAGTAGTAGTAGTAGTAGTAGTCGTAGTCGTAGTCGTAGTCGTAGTCGTAGTCGTCGTAGTAGTTGTTGTCGTTGTCGTTGTCGTTGTTGTAGTAGTCTAGAGTCCAGCTTGTGCAGAGTTTTGGCCACCGGAACTCACCTGTGCTTGGATGACTGACGTCCTCAAAGAGGAGCACCTCTTCGTTAAGTTTATGTCGACCATTTATGCTTCCACTGGAGCACTCAAATAATAATAATTTTTGCAAAAAAAACAACAAAACGAGAACACACTGCAGATTTTGAGAAAAAGAAAATATAAAGGAAAAAAAACAAACATACAAACCAAAGCATAGGGGAAATCATTCTGAGATGTCTGATCCTTCCTCACTACGGCTAAGTGGTGGCGCTGATGTCATTATTTTGCTCCAGGCAGGCTGGGCTTCTGCCTAGCTAGGAGGTAGCCAGCTGCAGAGCTCTGAGCTGTGAGCTAAATCCAGCCAAAACAGTGTGCAGAGCCAACATTTGCACATGGGAGTTGGTTCAAAGACAAACACGTTTCTGATTCTTCAGCAATGCATTGGTAGCCTGGTTGCCAACTTTTATGCGGTCGTATGTTTGGTATCATGATTGCTGTTGTGTGTGTGGGACCTGGTTCTTTTTGTGATCTTGACTCTTGATTGTTGCTTTATGCAATCTGCGCAGACATTGCTCCTGATGTTCAGCGGACCGTCAGTCTGATATATCTAAGTTTAAATCATTAATGTTCTTGCTTGATTATTGACCTGTCTCAATTTCTTTGAGAATGCCCTTCCAGCATCTGTATCGATCAACCAGTCTATATACCTGGCTTTTGTAGTTGTTCACTCAGCTAATAGCTGCAGTGCAGCTTGCTTGCTTGTGTTTGTTTTGTGGATGTTTCTGATGCATGCTTCGTCCTGTGCTTCTTGCAGTGTTGCAGAAACAATATTGTTTATTTTTTCTGTTTGTCTTAAAACTTTCTATTCTTACTGTTTTTTCTTAGTTATTGTTGTTTTTTTCCTGTTTTTTCTTTTATTACTTTTTTGAGGTTGTTCTTTGCTTGTATTGTTTTTCTATTTTTTCTTAAATTTAATATTTTCACTATTTCCAATAGTAGCATTGATCTGGACAACATAACGTTAAGTACTTGTTTGTCTGCTATGGATCTGCCAAACATTCTCTTGAACATATTTAGGGTCTGCCCTATTGCCTGTAACAGTCAGTAAACAATTATCACTATTTCTGAACAAGGCTTTTAGTATCCATTGACCATAGTCATCCACTGTTACTGCCAATAGGATAGACCCAATACATATATACATATATATCCTATAACGACATGTCCATGAAGGACTGGAGATAGAAGGACTGGCATTTGCAACAGAGTGAACTGTTTTTTTTGTTTCAGCTTCGGGGCCACCGCCTTTGGATCAACTCGCTCGGAGACGACTGCTGTCGTCTCACAGGCTCCTGCTGTCGCCGTGCAGCTGCACCGAATCTGGATGGGTGAGGAGCCCGATCTTCAAACATGACGTGCAGTGTCTTTACACGAGCATTCGGTTTCGAGACCTCAATGGGTTAGGCCCACACACTACGGTAGTGCTTGATGTTGCCCCGACACCCATGGTCTCCGACATGTTCCAAAGAGCTTTTTGGTTCTTTTGGGCACCATGTGTTGGGCACCAGGTCAGCCAAGCTGGGTGCTACTCTAGCCCAAAAAGATATCTTCTAGTAGATAGAACTTGAACAAGGAACGAACACACATGAAGAGCACAGTATCCCTTGCCTCAGATCTCCACATTCCAATAGAGGTTAAGTGACCTGATAGGACCTGTCACCTGGGGTACCCAACTGGGATAGTCGAACTAGGGTCCTGAAAAACATCTGTTGCTTTGAAAGGCCATCGTTGAGAGGGGTGATGGATCACATTTTTTTCTCCCCAGAGCGAGCCGCTGCAGCTCAGCCGGTGTGAGGCCTCGAAGTACCTGCTGCGTACTCTTCAACGATCTCACCCTGAACTACACGGTGACCTCCAACTTGACCCGTTGTGTGCCTTGTTTTGAATCGATCGTTGTGTCCGCAGAATTTGGGACTCGCAGTCAAGAAGCTCTTTGTACAGTATGGTCGGTGGCACAAATTCTTCCACCCGGACCCACGAATGCTCCAGACCTTGTTCCAGATCTAAGTTGCAGACTGCGGACCCGCTGTCTTTCTCTTGAATCTTAGATTCTTATTGACAGGCCAACCCAGTGGTTGGAGGGTCTCCCACTTCAAACATGTGCACAGATCATCCCAGTACCTTAGTACATGTTGTGGGATGCTCTAAGAAAGTATAGTGGACACTTCTTATCATTGGTAGAAAATGGCCTACATGGATCTTGCACGCCGCGCTGGTTCACCTGGACGTGTTGGGTGCAGAGGGACCATTGATCTTTTGCTGGTGAAAAGCTGCTGGGGGATTTTTTTGGGGCGTGCAAATTTTATGGGGCCAAGAAGAAGCTCCAAATCAGATGAACGATCTTGAACGATATTGACCTCCAACTTGACAAGGTGTGTGTGCCTTAGTTTTGAAAGGACAAGGAACAGCAAAAGGTGACCAGTCCCAGTCGAAACGCCTTCGGTGTTTCTCCGCGTTCAGCCTCCGAGGCGCCGAAGGCTATCATGGAGATACCGCAGGAGGAACGCCTTCAGGAGAGATCGACCAGGGTTGGCGACCGGTCCCTCTCGATCGACCGGGTCGGCGACCGGTCAAGATCTCAAGGGTTCGGAGGCGTCGACGGAGAAGGGGTGTTCGGAGGCGATCTCCGAGTCTTCAGATCGCATCTGATCACGTGCTGGGCGCAAGCGCTGGAATGCGCAGCTCACTCTCGCAAGCGCTGGAATGCGAGAAGTGGCTTCTTTGGGGGGGAAGCCACTGGAAGACACAAATGGAACTCCGCAGCATTTAGGATCTCCCCCGTTCGCGGTCCGGCTCGGAGCCCTGATTCGGGGTGGTGAGTTCGCAACCAGGAGAAGGAGACGTCGAGCAAAGAGCTAGTGAGCCCCAGACTGCATGGACGACATGTTGTGACTGGGGAGATTGGGACTCTGAATTCTGACATGTTGCGTGTAGCTGTGCAGGTAGATCACATACAATCCACAATCTGTTTTCTTTGATGATCCTTTGACAGATTTGTGTGCTACAAGACCTGGGACATCCTGGGACGGTTTCTATTCCAATTGCCCGGACGGCCTAACTCAGATCACACGGCTCGTCCATCGCTTGAGTCTGTGAGGCCAGTCGTGGAATGTGACCGCTCGATGCCTGAACCGTGCAGAGCACAGGGGAACATGGTTGGATCCGTGTTTGCATCACTGTGAAGCACTGTGCCCCTGCCACAAATGGAGTCAATTGAGGGGGCCTGGCCTGTAGTGCGTACATATAGATCCATAAAGCATGGTGCTACAATGAACCCATGATTCGTCCAGGCTAGACTCTTCAAGAGGTTGAATATGGTTGAGGTTGCCTTGGCTCTGCATCAAAGGTTCAAGGCGATGCCCTGCTGGCCAAGAATTCCAAAGGATCCTTGTCTAATCCACAAGGACCCAGCGTTTTCCAAAATTCTGAGATACTGTATCTGCTTCATGTGGTTTTGTGCCCATGACAATGGAAGGCCATTCTTCATTTGATACACTCCTTTGGACCTTGCTTTTTTTTGGTATGAAGGAGAAGTCCTTATTTGCATCTACGTTGCGAATCTTCATTAAATACTTGGCTCCGTCATGCTCCATCAATGGCTGCTCGTGATCGAAGTATAACAGCTGAACCAAAATGGACATTGAAGGCCTTCAGATTCCCCAAGTGCAAATTATTTCCTCCCTTCAGCTTCGCAAGCGGTTTCGTCCCAGCGGGTGTTGCTTCGTTTCGCAGCGCCGGGCGAGGTTGGACGTTCAATCTGCACCGGAAGAGCTTAAGGTGCTCGCGAACTCTCCGCGGACGAGCGAGAAGACTTGGGGTCATTCCCAGTTGAGGGATGTCGTAGTTGCCCAGCGTACGGTTAAGGTATGTCAAGATTCTTTGGTCAAACGTTGCCAGGTATAGAAAGTCTTGTTGAAGTACTGTTGGCCTGGGAGTGGTGTTGACAGCAGTAGTTCTGGCCAGAGCCGTCACACGGCACGGAGGGAGCGAGGGTTTTGGCCTGGGGGGCTTAAATATCGCGCTTGTGTGACTGACACTGATGCAAAATTGGCAGACATGCAGCAATAACAAACAAATACCTCAGACATCCTCAGACAATAGAAGAGGATAACAGTGATCACAAAATTCATGTTGCTTTAGGTCCAGAGAATTGACGTGCGTTTTTTCTAGATTGGATTTTGTGAAACTTCAATTCCTTTTGGACCGAAGAAAGCATCGATCAATTGGAACCAATTGGAACTTTCATTTCCATCTGGAATTCACTGGATCAGTCCGGTCTTTTTTCCTCGATCAATCCCGGTGAATCGAGGAAGGAGACCAAGACGAGCGTGTGTGTTCACCGTGCCGCAAAACCGTGAACACACCTCGAAAACAGAGAGACTCTGGATTCACCAATCAGTTGGAGAAAATCAACCTTCTCCACTATGTCTCCACCTATTCTTTGGTATCCCTAAGCTCTGCAGAAGTCCGAAATCCCACGTAGTTCAATGGAAAAACAACATTTCAAGGGGGCCAGCCTGGCTTAGATAATGCTTTTTTGGGGGGTGGGGTACCAAATTTCTAATCCGGAAAGTACCGTCCGACTCCCAGGCGGGCGCCACGGTGGAAGAGACCCTCACCTGGAGCCGTGCGCGACTCCAACGGGCGGAGGAAGAGCCGGCTGCCCAGGTGGAGCTGGCATGGGTATCCAAAAAGGCCATGATGAGGATCAATAAAACAGCTGTTAAGTCAGGAAGGATAATAATAATCAGGAAGGATGAACATTCAGTCAGGAAGGATGAAACGATTTGGTATTGTGCGCAGTTTGTTTTGTTGGCTAGGGGGGGAAGGCGCTGCGCCCTCCCCCCTAACACTCCTCCTTCCCGTGCCACAAAATCGCACAAGTTAAGTTAATCTTTTTTTTGGTGCTCTGCTGAGTCTGCCACAAAGTATGCTGGTGGCATGCTGCTGGGGGTGTGCCCAAAAACCTGGGCAAGTTTTGGGCCTTTGCACTCTCTTTCAACCCTGGGCTAGGACAATTTTTTAAAATTTTAGTTTATTCTGTCTTGTTTAAAGATGTGTTTTAGTGATTTCAAAAATAGCATCCTTTTGATCCCCCCGTGATAATTTTGTTTGATCCTCTTACCTTACCGTTGGGATGGTAGGTCCTTTGGAGGGGGGCTCCACGTGATTTCCATTTGTTTAAAGATACCCTATTGACGTGATCAGATGTGATCAAATACTTCTTTTTTTTCTGACACCACTGCTTTCTCCTGAGGTTCCAGAAGCAAGAGTGGGAACGCATGCCATCACCAAACAGCTGGCACAATGAGGTGCAGATGGTGCTAATTAGGGTGTTGTCAGTCGGCTGAATGGCATGTCTTTTGCTCCACAGCTCTCAGGTGATTTCACAGTTTGCCGTCAGTGTTTTTTGCATGATTTTGGCTTTAGTTTTGGTTAACATATATATACCTAGACCCCGCAAAAGACGTTTTTTTTTTTTTTTTCTGGTGAGGGCAATTTTCAGGCGAAGCTCAAAAAACCCACACAACAAACAGTTGTGGTGTCGATTTTTGTTACTTCTGCGTTGTTTTTTGTCACTTCTGCGTCATTTTGGCGTCATGTTTTCTATCGCGAATTTGCTGCATGTTTCTGCGTCATGTTTTCTGGCGAGACGGAAAAAAAGACATCGTTTCAGGGTCCAGTATATATTAAGATGAAAGAAGCGGCAGACCAGAGGTTAATTTACACATGTTACACGACATGTATATTTAATCAGTCTATATTATGTTTCCTTTCCTGGTCTTCTTTGCAAACCGCGAATCCTTGGGGGATCGGCATCGCCTTTGATCGCCAGGTCGTGTACAGCCTCATGGTGGATCGCTTTGCCAATGGAGACCTCTCCAATGACCAGCACAACATTCCATCCTTCCAAAAGCAGGACATGACAAGCCCGCCATCACACCACTCCCCACCGGAAAGCGGGAAACGCGCCGCGATTCGACGCGCTGCGATTTCCGTGTTTGGTGTGGTGTTTATGTTGTTTGTCTCCGGCAAACAGACCTGTTGGCCCGTTGGAGGGATATGTATAGGGTTTTGTTATGTCTTCTTGGTCGAATGTTCGAGGAGAAGCCTAGGGATTAAAGCAGGATTGCCGGTCGAATCCGCTTGATGTGCTTCACACAGAAGCCTACAAAACTGCAAACATCGAGCCTTTCTGACGCAGTGTTTGATTGACTGCATGAGTTTGGAACTGACAAGAAACTCCATGCTTGGACCGGCTGCACGAAGCCGGAGTCCACTCCGATACGGGCCATTCGAGCGATTGGCTTGGCGTCCTCGCATTCGCCGCGTGCGACGTTCGGCTCGTGGAAAGATGAAGAACCAACTTCGGTGGCGTCATGGGTCTTTTTCCATCTTTTTTCATTATCTTGCCATGGCCAGAGGTGCAAGAGGAAAGGCGAGAAGTACTTCTTTGGAGACCCAATTTCGTTGTGTATTTTATTGGGACCCCCAGGGTATGTTGGGGAGATCTCCCTGTTTGAATACACACCCATATGTCCACACGACGCTTCACATGTCCACACGACGCTTCATTTTCCTCAGCATCCCTTCTCTCCTGGCTTGGTTGGGTGCTCAGGAGTTGTCTGTGGGTGAGCCCTGGTCGTTGCAGAAATGGCGCCACGGTCCGGAATCCGAGTGCCAAGGAGAGAGGTGAAACGATTACATCATGGTGCCAAGGAGTGCCTGGTGGACATCTCAACGCACATATGTTTGGACCTTTCTTGGCTCCAAGGGAATAAAGACATATATGTATATAGACACACACATATAGTATAGATATATAGAGTATAGAGTATATAGAGACAACTTCTAGACCAGGGTTTCGCATCAAAAAGCAGTTCCCTTTGTAGGCGCTGTGTTTCCAGGGCGCCGACTCGACCGGTCCATTCACCCGGATGCGCCCGAAGTGTTCGGGTTCGAACTACTTGCTCAAGCGATTCGAAGGGACCGGGACAACTGTTCACGATAGGGTTTTTTTCTTTTGTTTGTTGCAACAATGATCCCTATACACACATCCTATGTTTTAGAACAGTGCGCAATCCAAAGGGAGTCATTGAGAAGAGCAACTCGAATCATCTGAGAAAAAAAACACAGACACCGGAAACAGCCACCCTGCTGAGGTGGTGATTTGCTCGGCGTGATGTCCAGGACGGGCCGCGGGTTGCGCGCGAAGACGAGCGCGAAGACGCGCGGGTTGCGCTCGAGGTCCGCTCGTGGCCGTGGAGGGACCTCTGCACGAGTAGGTCGCAAGTAAATGACGTTTTGGGCCCCAGTTGGCGATCATCGGACTGTTTTATGTAGTAGGTTCATTGGAATTTCCACCGGTTGAGTTCATTTTTGAATGCAATGCACCACTCACATCCACTCAGCGCAGTCGCACTGAGCAGAGCGAGTGCTGTTCGTCACTTGAGATGACGAAGAGGCACTTTTTCGAGAAACCTCGCGGTGTGGTGACCACGATTCCCGATTTGTTTTGATGGCGAGGATCAATGTCGTCCTGTGCGAGCGGTTCTTGGTTGGAGACCTGTTTGTACGCGTTCGGCCACACGAATCAAGTGGAAGGAGATTCCTCCGTTCAATTTGGCCACCGTTTCTAAACCCAAACGCGTGCATTTTGATCTATCCCAGACACTCCATGTATGCCATATATGCCTACATTGGGGTGGTTTGGGGGTCAATGTAAGCATATATGGCATACATGGAGTGTTTGGTTTTTGACTATATGGACGTGTCGTGATGTGGCTTGTGGCTGTTGTTTCACACCTCGGAGACTCGTCGAGTCGTCGATGGGTTCGGGTCGCGAGGGTCGCGAGGGGCTATACGTCCCTCGCACTGCAGGCTATCATACTTTCGGCACTTGGGCGTGACGGTGGTTGCACTGCCGAGGACCTAGCCATATATCTCCGCTGCAGGAAGGGGGGAGAGTCGTTTGCGGGACTTTCGGTGAAAGGAAGGGACACAAATAGCACCAAACGAAATGCGGGACCCGGGGGAGCACACCTTTCTGCAAACTGATGCAGCACTCGCCACTGAAGTTGAAAAGCCGTCTATTCTATTCTACATCAAACTATATATCCTACTGCTAGGTGGGTTGGTGGCAGGAGAAAAGCGGCTTGATGTAAGCGTTATTCTGTTCTCGATCTATTTCGGGTGGAGTTGACTCCGCCAACGACCTGTGATGCCAAGGTCTCCCATTTTCCTCAACTCCAAGGGAGAGCGCTCGGCTTAGCATCACAGCCACCTGCCGCTCAGGGCCACACTCCGATGTGCCGGTGATCAGTGGAGTCAGATCGTCCGGGACGGACACTTCGCTGCCGAAGTGGTCCAGGTATCATGGCTTCGCCACCACCGACATCTCACAGATTGACCCTGGCTTCGGCCGCCTGGGCCAAATATGGGGAGACCTGGAGACCTGGGACACAAGCAACACGCAGTGGCTGCAGGGTCTTGAGGGATTCTTCCAGCAAAAGACGCAAGGAGTTGAAGCATCGCATCAGAGTTGAAGCTGCAGACACATGCAGGCACTTAGCTTCCAACGTTCCACAACTGCACAGCCGCACAAAGTTATTTGTCCCGCGGAACTTGGGAGATCTATCATCACCAGTGTGGGTGCTCCTTTTCTGCTAATTTTGTAGATCATCCAGAATATATCAGAATATTAGCTAGTATGAGGACTTGTGCAGCATCAGTTCAGGAATACTGATGACACCAGACATCCTTTGGGCTTGGTGCTCAAAAACCCTCAATCCCTCAATCCGCTGGATTTCTCAACGTCGCGGACCCGCGGAATCCCGTTTTCGACGAGTCCTTGTCTACCGCAGCGGTCCCATTTTCAGTTCGTCACCTCAGGGACCCTCACGTCACCTCCAGGGACTCCAGCTGCAGCGTTGCAGCTGAGGTGATGCCGAGCTTCTTCGCATCTTCGTGCATGAGGCGACCGCACGGAAGCATCGGCTGACGCACCGTCGGCTGCGGCGAGCTGACGCCGGTTCGGCGTAGATGTACCCGCCCCAAAGAGTGGCTTCGGTTGACATCCCTTAGAGAGCAATGTGTGGATATATGTGATATATGTGGAGATTTCACAGTGTCAATCAGGATTTGGCTGGGGTTTGGACCCACAGCCAAATGTGTGGATGGTCCTGTTGAGTAAAAGCCTCGGAAAAAGACCCTTGGCTGCGCAGTGGCTGCACATGTTGTCAGGCACATCAACTGGGAATCCGCGTGGTGTGCCGACCTCATTTGCTGGTGGTGTAGGGCAACTGAGACCTTCAGACAGCTTGTGGGATGTCCGAATTACTTTTTTGATTCTGAAGGCTTTCATTGTTCATGGAACATTGACAGCTGCAGCAAGAATTTCATGTTGTTCATCATCTTGGTACCTATGTCAAGGATTGAAGTGGAAGGTGCTGGCATGAATGCTTCTAGTAAGGGTTTTGTTGGTCAAGAGCCTAATTATACACTTTCAACTCCTTGTGCAGTGCTTTCCAAGGTTGGATCTTCAGGTCAACCACTTGAGCGGCAATCTGCAATACAGGCTGGGTGGTTGCATGTTGCTGGAATGCCAAGGGGACACGCTGAATGGCTGTCCTCCGAGCTGGACATCATGCACAATCTATATAATACAATCTAAGACAGCAAAGCCATGCAAATTACCAAGCAGCTGTGGGGTATAAGTCTTCGTAAGTCTTCATGTCATTCAGAGTTACCACTAGACTTGCCTAAACAGATATACTTGCTTAACGGCAAGGATTCCCCGCATGTCTTGAGCACCCCATGATTGTCCAGAAGAGTAGCCCGGAACTGGTCGTTGAGTTGGCTCCTTGTGGAACCAGGGAGTGAATTTCCGGTGAAACTCTTGATTCAATATATAGACCTCCAATAGATAGAAAAGTAGATCCTTAACCTAAAATGTATTGGATTCCAGTGGATTCCGTTTCTATCTACTTAGGCACCACTAAGGTGAAACCCTGAAAGAAGTTGGAGATTCCATGGGTGAACACCTGTGGACACCACTTCTTGCAAGGCAGGACTATGGGAATGGCGTCGACCAAGTAAGCAGCTGTGTGAAGAGTTTCGAAGAGGCCCTGTGACGCCGGGAGTCGCCAGGGGGTTTTCTGAGGCCGCTGATGCCAAGATTGAAGTTGGTCTGCTGATGCTGAGAGACTGCAAAAACGATCAAAAACAGGTGGATGTCAATGGCTTTATCATCCAGACCGAGCCAGCTCAACATACCTAATTGAGTGTCTCAAATTGAATGTGTCATGAGCGCTCTCCTGTCTTTCAGTGTGTTGTATCCGAAAGCAGCTGTTTCGCCAGGTGTACCGAAACAGCAGCGGACGCTTCAATGCGCAGAGGGCGCCTCTCGGTGGAACAGGATTTGACAGGAAAGCAGGGCAGGAAGGCAGTACAGTACACCCGGGAAATTCACATGGAACCTGACAAACTCACGTCGTCTTCCAGTCTCCATGCCAAGCTCGGTTCCATGTTGATCTTCCCGGTAGTATGTTTGCATGTTTTAAGTTTCAAGCCTCAATTAGATAGGTGTTAGTGTTTGGTCTGCACTCCGCGACAATGGGTTGTCTATGACAAGAAGTGGGACTGCAATGAGTAAAGGGAAATTTTCTTTGGTGAAGGGAGGTGTCTTCTGTCAGACCTGTATTCTCATGTGGCTAAAACCCACATGCTACCATGGAAGTTGGTCGTGGGCATTGTCTGACCTTCCAAAGTTCTTGGAGTCGAGCAGCCGACCAAAAAGTCAGCCGTACCCACATCCTGCAGGAAGGGGTGGACCTGCGTCATGTCGATTTCGGCCATGAAAGGCCCTAAGTCCTAAGTTTGTTCGATTGGTCATTATGTTCCTTTCACGTCGAGCGTTCAACTGTTTGTAGGGAGCAATCTGTTTTTTTCAGAGCGAGGAGGAGAGATGAGGAGACGATGGGAAGTGCAACAACGTTCATTTCCCTTCAAGCAAAACGGTGCTCTTGTGCACAGGTGAAATCGGGTGAAGGACAGGCCCTGAAGTTACATTGGATTCAAGGCCCTGCAACGACATGCGCCCTACAACATGGTTCTCCCAGAACATGTGCCCAACAAGATATCAGAGCTGCCCTGCGTTTAAAGAAAAGATAAACTGCTTGGTACAGGACAAATCCTGTCTAGACCTGCT